GAGAAGTTGTTAAACGAGGAACATAGAGGTAGGCCAAAAGGGGAAGAAGTTGGTAGTAATAAGGAAGACCAGGACTATAAGTTCTATTGTAGGATTAGGGACTTTGAAGCGGAGTTTGCACTTAAGAAGATGAAATTGAATAAGGCTTTAAAACCCGATGATTTACCTATTGAAGTGTGGAAATGTTTGGGTAAGAAGGGGGTTGTTTGATTGACTAGGTTATTTAGCAAAATTTTATTAAATAGGAAAATGCTAGAGGAATGGAGAAAGAGTATTTTAGTACCAATATATAAGAATAAGTGAGATATCTAGAAATGCAACAACTATAGAGGAATCAAGTCAATGTGTCACACAATGAAAGTATGGGAGAGAGTGATAGAACATCGATTCTGAAATATAACAAAGGTGTTAGAGAATTAATTTGGGTTTATGCTTGGTAGGTCAACAATGGAAGCGATCTATCTTTTGAGGACAGTAATAGAAAAATATATATATAAAAAAAAACTAAAAAAAAAAAAAAGACATTCATGTGGCTTTTATCGATCTAGAGAAAACATATGATAAAGTACCTCGGGATATAATCTGGTGGGTGTTAAAGAAGAAATAGGTAACAAAAGATTACATTGACGTAATTAGGAATATATATGAAGGTGTGGTGTGACCACTATTAGATCGCCTGTTGGAGAAACGAGTGAATTTCCAATTACTGTAGCATTACACCAAGGATCAACCTTAAAGTCCTTATCGTTTCACTTTAGTTATGGATGAGTTGATGCGTAATATTCAGGATGATGTGCCATGTTGTATGCTTTTTGCAAATGATATCGTGTTTGTGGATCAAACTAGAGAAGGAAGTTAACACTAAGTTGGAGATTTAGAGAAAAGCACTTGAATCTAAAGGATTTAGGATAAGCAGAACTAAGACAAAGTATATAGAGTGTAATTTTAGTAACAGTCACAATGGAAGCAGAGGAGAAGTGAAGATTGAGAACCAAGAACTTCTACTTATCCAAAAACAAATAACCAAGAACTACCTATGAGTGAACATTTTCGTTATTTAGGATCGATTATCTCAACGACTGGGTAAATTGGAGCGGATGTGGTCTATAGAATTAAGGCAGGGTGGCTTAAGTGGAGGAGTGCGTTTGGAGTACTGTGCGATAAACGAGTACCCATTAAACTAAAAGGGAAGTTCTATAGAACGGCTATTAAACTAGTGATGTTGTATGTGACGGAATGTCAGGCAACTAAGAAACAACATGTAGATAAAATGAGTGTTGTTGAGATGAGGATGTTAAAGTGGATGTGTGACAAGACTAGAAAAGACAAAGTTAGGAATGCGTATATTCGAGAATGGGTAAAAGTAGTACCGATAAAAGATAAGTTGAGAGAGAATAGATTGAGATGGTTTGGTCATATACAACAGAGACCAACAGAAGCAGTAGTGAAGAGATGTGATACAGTGATGGTAGATGATAGTATTATGAGAAGGGGTAGACCTAGATTGGCATGAAATAGTGTAGTAAATAGATATATGAATTTTCTTAATTTGACTAATGAAATGGCCTTGGTAGAGTGGAGTAAAAAAGAAGGATTCATCCAGCCGACCCTATTTGATGGGACTTAAGGCTTGCCTTGGTTTGGTTTGGTTTGGTTTGAATGATTCGAACCATCAATGTGGGCTCTATAGTGAGGCCATAAAGCCCAATAACATACTCCAATCTAATTTTGGATTAGTGAGAAGCTTATGCTTTTTTATTTATTTATATATCATTTCGTAATTGCTGGTTGTGATGAGCTATCCAAGTCTGATGTCAGTTCATGAGTGAACTATAATAATTTCGTGCTCTAGAACACTTAGGTCATGTTTGTTTGGAGTTTTAAAGAGGGGATTGGATTAGTAATCTGTGGACTCCACCTATGCCATGTTTGTTTGCAGAGGAAAGACATGGGATTGCCAATCCCATGGGACTATCAATCCCCTTCTATGGTAGGATTAGCATACCCGTGGAAGAGGTGGGATTCTTAGTCGACGCCCATGGATTAATGGCTAAAAGACCATTTGCCCCTCATTTTAGAAAATTAATAAAGTTATCTTCTATGTAATAAGGGCTTTTACATAATTTGTACATTTAATCCCAACAAACTAATACCACAATACTAGTGCACAAACAAACACACTTTATTCTACATCTCCAGCCTAATACCACCATACTAATAATCTCCTCACTCAATCTCCCTGTACTCCTAATCCCTTCAATCCTATGGAGCCAAACAAACATGCCTTAGATTAGATGTAATACTCAGGCCCGTTTGGGACTTGAATTTGTTACTTAAAAAGTCAAAATATTATTGTAAGTTATTACATCATTTTTTTGTATTTGTCATTTTACAAAAAAAATAATTAAACTAATCAATTTCTAAACGAGACCTCACTTGTTTGGCCTATGTTCTTGTGTTTTAGTTGTGAGCCTTATTGTAAAAATAAAATAAAAAAGCCACAACTTCTCTACAATCTGAAATCGGATTGGACAATACTGTTAGACCGTGATGGGTCTAATTCTGAACCCATTTTGATGATACAAATCATTTTATGTGTTGAGCTCGTCGAGTATATCATCTCTACAAAAAAGCACATTGATTGGACATCAATAGTCATTTGATCAGTTTGCATCTGTTTCAACTACAATTATGATTTTTAAAATAAATTACAAATACAAATGCAAGTAGATCAAGTGACTATCAATATCCAATTAATATAATTATTTGCAGGGACGATATACTCAACGAGCTTTATACAGCTTGGATCATCAAGATGGGCTTGGCATCAAGTCCACTATAGGCTAACACCGTCCGGTCCGAGAGTTGGACCCAAATGAAAAATGTATGTATTATATGGACCACGTGACACTCTTGAACCACCTTAGTTGAGAAACAATAAAGGTTGGACTATTTTTATATTCATATTTCAAAGAATCCATAGAATTCACCATGAATCTCATTTTAATAGTTCAGATTATTCATTTTATAATATTCTAAATATATATATTATCAATAAAAAGATTAGTTGAATTTGCTAACCATGACCTTTTAAAATTCTCTAAATTTTAAAAAAAGCCCAACCAAAAAATTAATTTTGTAGTCCCAAGACATTACATTAATTAGATTTTATTCAAATCAGTAAGTGAAATATGGTATCTTATGGGTAGTTTGTTAAAATTTTTGTTTCTTATTTTTTGTTTTTGTTTTTGTTTTTGTTTTTGATTTTGTTTTTATTTTTTTTAAATTGAAAATGAAAACTTGTTTGGTATATTGTTTTGGTTTTTAAAAAAATGAAATTGATTTCAAAGTTTTCAAAAATTTTGAAAATACAAAAAAAAAAATTTATTTTCACTTGATTTTAAACTTTCTTCTCTCACTCACCACCTTCGGCCACTATTACCGCCACCACTGGCCACTAACCACGACCACCAACCGTTGCCGATCGGTGGTGAGTTCCGACCAACCTCAAGCGACTGTCCAGCTAGTGGGTGGTCACCATCATGATCTTAGGCCAACTTTTGGCATCTTTTTAGTCACCTTGTATCCTCCGATGACATCCAATTACTAACTCCAATTTAGACACCTTTGGCTACTTACCACTACCAGTCACTACCCATCTCCGAACTCCAAATTCGGTAACTCATCAAATATATTTCTCTATTTTTATTTTTATTTATTTTTAAAATATTTTTGTATACCAAACAAGTTTTCTATTTTTGATTTTTACAAAAATAAATGAAAACCTATTTCTTATTTTTCGTAAACTGAAAAGGTTAAGGAACATGGCCACATTTTCGAAAAGCTGATCCAGACAAAGTGACACCTCAATTCATTTGATTTTCTTAGTAATTTTTTAATTTTTTTATGAGGGAAAAAAAGTCAATATATTTAGAAAGTTTATTAGTTAAATAGAAGTTGGAATGCAAATATAATTGATACATGCGTATGATATTTTGACTTTTTTAATCAAAAATTCACAAACCAAAAACGGTCTATTGGGTGTTTGGATTTTATTTTATTTTTTTGGTTAAAAAATAATTCAAAAGATTTTACATTTTTCAGTTCTACTCATATAGATTTGAGAATTAAATATTTCTTTAAAAAAATTCAAAAAAAGTTTAGAAAGAAAAAAAGTAAAGCCTCAAAAGTTGACTTTTTTTATTTTTAGTGAATTTTTATTCTTTTATTTTTTAGATTCGTGTATGTAAGAAGGATTTGAAAAGTAAAAAAACTTAATATAATTTTAAAAAATATCACTAAATAAAGCCCTCTTTATTTTTATACCACTACAAAAATTTTGACTTTTTGTGACGGCCAAATGCCGTCGCAAATACTCATAATGCCGTCTTAAATACTTTTTTGCGACAGCAATTGTCTTTTAGGGACGACAAATGGGGGGGTCGCAACAAAAGGCGTTGCTAAAACGCTTTAACAACGGCACCATGCCATCGCCTTTTTTTTGCAATGGTAAAAGTTGCCTTTTGCGACGGAATTCTGATGTCACCAATAATATGTAAAAACTTGAGATTTTTTACAACGGCACTGTTTTACCGTCGCTAAAAGTGTTATTTGAGACGGCAAAAAATACCGTCGCTAAAGGGCTTTTATTGCGATAGATACCTGCCGTCGCTAAAGATTATTTGAAACAGCAAAACATGTCATCGCTAAAGATTATTTGAGACGGTAAAAAATGCCGTCACAAGAGACTTTTTGTTTCAACAAAATACTTTTAGTTCTAATTTTTTTGAGACAGCGTGGTGCCATCACCAAAAAATATATATATATATATTAAAAATATGAAAATTACCTGTATTAAATGAAAAATAACTAAAAAAGAAACCAATAATTACATAATAATATAAAATTTTCAATATAAAAATAACAAATCATCCATAATAAAAATATTCTTGCATTCATAACAACACATCAACAAAATTATCCCATCACATAACGTTACATAATACAAATATAATGTTTAAATATATAATATTGTTCACAATTCAAAATAACGTAAATCAACAACAAAAGTTTTTCTCATGATTCTTCCGTGAGTAACAAAAACAAACGTTAATCACATTATTCACACGCCTGCACTCCACAAGAAGCAAACTCCTACTCAAAAAACATCTGAAAACAAAAAATAAAAATAATTAATGACAATATAATTATATGTTAATATTTTAATTATAAAAAATATAAAAATTTAATTACTATATAATTACAAAGATAATTAAGTAAATAATTTTGACTAGACAGAAATCCAGCTCTAACTCCCAAACCAGGAACCCGATTCGAGTCTCGTCTTCTCCCACAAGTCTCGTGCCTAGGCGGTCGTGTGTACTAAGTTTCGTGCTATTCCGACGCCATTTGGTGATTTTGGGGCGTCAACACCTTAAATTCAAGTTTCTTAAGGAACTAGTTTGCCTAGAGTGAAATCCGACTCTAACTCCCAAACCAGGAACTCGATTTGAGTCTCGTCTTCTCCGACAAGTCCCTCGTGCCTAGACGGTCGTGTGCCAAGTTTTGTGATATTCTGACGCCGTTTGGTGATTTTGGGGCGTCAACACCTCGAATTCAAGTTTCTTAAGAAGCTAATTTGCCTAGAGTGAAATCCGGCTCTAACTCTAAAACCAGGAATCCGATTCAAGTCCCGTCTTCTCTCACAAGTCTCTCATGCCTAGGCGGTCATGTATGCCAAGTTTTGTGCTATTCCGACCGTTTGGTGATTTTAGGGCGTCAACACCTCGAATTCAAATTTCTTAAAGAACTAGTTTACCTAGAACGAAATCTGGCTCTAACTCCCAAACCAAGAACCCAATTCGAGCCCTATCTTCTGCCACAAGTCTCTCGTGCCTAGGCGGTCATGTGTGACAAGTTTCGTGCTATTCCGACGCCGTTTGGTGATTTTAGGGCATCAACACCTCAAATTCAAGTTTCTTAAGGAACTAGTTTGCCTAGAACGAAATCCAGCTCTAACTCCCAAACCGGGAACCCGATTCGAGCCCTGTCTTCTCCCACAAAGCTCCCGTGCCTAGGCGGTCGTGTGTGTCAAGTTTCGTACTATTTCGACACCGTTTGATGATTTTGAAACGTCAACACCTCTAATTCAAGTTTCTTAAGGAACTAGTTTGCTTAGAATGAAATCCAACTCTAACTCCCAAATCGGGAACCCGATTCAAGCCCCGACTTCTCCCACAAGTCTCTCGTGCCTAGGCGGTCATGTGTGCGAAGTTTCATGCAAATCCGACGCCCTTTGGTAATTTTGGGACGTCAACACCTCGAATTCAAGTTTCTTAGAGAACTAGTTTGCCTAGAGTGAAATCTGGCTCTAACTCCCAAACTGGGAACCCGATTCGAGTCCCGTCTTCTCTCACAAGTCTCTCGTGCCTAAGCAATCGTGTGTGCCGAGTTTCGTGCTAATTTGACACCTTTTGGTGATTTTGAGGTGTCAACACCTCGAATTCAAGTTTCTTAGAGAACTAGTTTGCCTAGAGCAAAATCCAGCTCTAACTCCCAAACTGGGAATCCGATTTGAGTCCCGTCTTCTCCCACACGTCTCTCGTGCCTAGGCGGCCGTGTGTGCCAAGTTTCATGCTAATCCTACGCCGTTTGGGGATTTTTGGACATTAACACCTCAAATTCTAAATTTCTTAAGAAACTAGTTTGCATAGAGTGAAATCCTACTCTAACTCCCAAACCAGGAATCCGATTTGAGTCCTGTTTTCTCCCACAAGTCTCCCGTGCCTAAGCGGTAGTGTGTGCCAAGTTTCGTGCTAATCCGACGTCATTTGATGATTTTGGGGCGTCAACACCTCGAATTCAAGGTTTCTTAAAGAACTAATTTGCCTAGACCGAAATCCGGCTCTAATTCTCAAACCGGGAACCCAATTCGAGTCCCGTCTTCTCCCACAAGTCTCTCGTGCCTAGGCAGTCCTGTGTGCTAAGTTTCTAATCCAACACTATTTGGTGATTTTGAGACATCAACACCTCGAATTCTAAGTTTCTTAAAGAACTAGTTTGCCTAAACCGAAATCCGGCTCTAACTTCCAACAACATCAAATACAACATTTTTTTTGTTAGTCATCAAATCCCACATAGATAATTAAACATCTCAATCAACAATGAGAACAGCTGCATTTCTGAGAAAATTAAGCAATGCAAATAAGTTATGCCGGTGTTTACCTGTGCTAAGAACTCTTTTGACTACACAAGGAAGTCTCGTATGTGATTCTTAAATGTGAAAAGATCATTTCTTGACTCAAACAGTCCACTTACAAATTGGGTTACCTGCAAAGCTCACCAAATAAGTGATATCCTGAGAGAAGATGGTGTTAGAATTACGTGTGCATTTTTCACCAAATAAGATGTGATGTTAATTCGTTGGAGTGAAGGGCAATTTGACACTGTAACAGATGACAACATGATACTTCATAAATTTAAAACAACGAATCTGCAGGCAATATTATAACATTAGTCACACTAACTAACAAGTACCACCAAAATAGTTCCCCTACAAGACTTTGAGGTCGGAGTAGCATAATTTACTTGCGACAATGGACAAATCTTATATTCTGCAGGCGTAGGAGATCCAAGGACACCGACACCAATAAACTACAATTGTCAAGCTCCAAGACTTACATCGCAATAAAATTGATTTCATTAGTTTCAGACTATTCGTACATTGAATCAAGTCTAGGCAATGCCAACTTCTAAGATAAGAGGCTTCAAACCTCCAACATATAACTATGAGATATTGCTGCCATGGAAGCAGAAGTAATGCCCTCGCAACTGTGAAGCTTGAGAACTGTCAACATGGGCAGTCTTACAGATTTCCAAGAAAAGCAAAAAATCAAGTCAACTAATGGAAGCATCTTCAAACATCACCAGAACAAGCATGGTGAAAAGCTAAAACACTGACCCCAAGAGAGATGTTTGGGCAGTATGAAGCATTAAGAACATGGAGATTACCACAAGGGCAGGCAATTTCGCGTAGTGTTTCGTCACTCACACATGAACAATTGGACATATCTAAAGACTCCAAAAGTGGGCATGATGTTGCTGCCGAACGAATTGCAGCATCTGAAAACTTGTGGCAAGACGCTATATCAAGATCACGCAAAAGAGGGCAGTTGAGCACAGCATGAGCCATACTATTGCCCTTTAAAGACAAGGTTTCGAGTTGGGGGCACCTGCAAAACAAGAAACTTTAGCACAAATTCTGAACAGATTACTATATATGAAACTTTTTCCAATTATTTACGACTGTACCACCTGACAGAAATACGAAGCACTCGGCATTTCACAATTTGAAGTTGTCTCAGTCTATCATGGTATATAGGTATCTCTTGAATACCATTACCAAGGGTAGCATCATGGATAACCAGACTCTTCAACAGTTGGCAATCTGTTAGGGCTTGAAAAAATTAATAAATACTTTGATTGATTAATGAAGTTAGAGATACTTGTAACAATGTCTTAAACTTGTCAAGATATGAAGGAGCAATCAAAGAATATTGATAGTTGTCAATAGAAACTTCAATTATTTTTTCTTTTTATTATGCTGTAAAGGAAGATCAGATCTTAGGCTTTGTGTTCAGGGTCAGGTGTAATCAATGTGACTTCCATGTGGGAAAATATTATATGCAATTAAATAAACACACAAATAATATAAAAGAAAATTTTAATAAATAGAAAAGGAAAATCCAAATAAATGTCATACTCATTGATATGAGAAGATTCGAATTTGATAATCTAGATATCGAATTTAAAAATTGTGAATTTGAAAACTTCCTATGGTAAATTTGAAATGACACAAAAAAATAGTTATTAGAAATCTACAAGAATTTAATAAAATAAATTATATTTTATATCTAGCTTATTTTTCCTTTTATTTTCTCAGTCTACCTATTAGTAACTTCATATTGTTTCTATAAAATTCAATCTCAAACCCTTTACTAAAATTCATGCATCCAAATGGAGCCTAATTTTATTTTATTTTACCTTAATATCCTCATCCAAAAGGCACAAGCATATTAATAACATTGTTTTGATTCCCAACGAACAAACTTCTTATTCCACATATTCACTGATGATAGTAAGAAGCCTACACACAACTCTAATTTGATTTAAAACCCAGGTAAGATATAGTTTATTAGAATGGGATTGGGAATGGAATCCTAGAGGATATGATATATCTCACTCTAGTGTTTTGGACAAGACTGGAATTAGACTAACAGAATTCCAATCCCACATTGGATGGTATTGTGGTAATAAATGATAGGATAAATATGAGTTAAAATATTGGTAACTTTTCAGCACTTTCAAACGAAGAAAGCACAGGATTTGCAAAATATGTCACACAAGCAAATACGCTACCATCAACATAGCAAATAAAAATTATAATTTAAAAGGCCATAACAGTGACAGACCAAATAATGCAGACTTACAACTACTTACTAGAAGCTTCTGCTTCCAATTCAATATTCCTTTCAAATTCTTAAGATAGCAGACACCTCTCTTTATATTAAACTCATTAAGCCTAAACCCAAGCCCCATAATTCAGTTATGCTAGCAATCCCCATTACTTGAACTAGCTCTTTAACTTCAATCAGTATCGATCAAGACACTCAAAACACTTGTCAGTTTTGAAGGTCATATATATATACATGCTTAATCAAAATCAATAACCACACAAGCAAACACCTTTTCCCTTCATTCCACTTACATGTGTAACAAACCCCTTAATAGACAAATGAAATGGCACCAAATATGTAACATCCCCAAAACCAACAAAAAGAGGAATACAAAATTTGATCTTCAACTCACTAAACCTGGTTCGCTATTGTAATTTCATTTTCATCTTCTACACTTAAATAAACTAGTTTATTAAAAGCATCAATTGTTAGGCAATGAAATCCACAAAGAGAAAACCCTAATTTGTGCAAATATTTTAACAGAAAAAATCGAAGTGAATCAATTAGACACCAGAGGAGCAAAAGCGAGAGGTTAAATAACGGAGAAAATTAGCTTTATACCTAGAAAGCATTTGTCGATCCAAGTCCATCTTCAAAGGAAAAGCCGATCCGTACGTGTTCACAAGGATTCTCCTCTTCATCTGTTCCTGCACCTCCTTTGTCTGATTCACCATACATATATACACAAATTAGACCAATATACACATATCTACATATATATATATAGATAGATAGAGAGAGAGAGAGAGAGATGTAGAGACATGGAACAACTGTACAGCTCTCATTAATATTCTTTTCTATGAAATACAAGTCCATATATATATATATATGTCTCGTTTGGCAACAGGTCGGTTTAGTAAAAAAGTCAAAAAATTATTTAAAAAATCAATAATTTATATCAAAAAATCAAAAAAAAATTTCTTTTTACTTTTTGCACATCTTTTCGTAAAAAGTTAAAAAGTCATCCCAAACATACTAGTTTTTTTTAGTTCATATTTTAACCAAATAGCCAAAAAGTTACTAAATTAGCCTAAATTAGCCTGTTCCCAAACGAGGCCTAGACTATCGTACAGAGTTTATTCTAGACAATCCCTGCACTCACTTTTCTTTACAACTCATGCCAAATACACTCTTGCTTTACAACCTATGCCAACACTCACTCTTATTTTAAAACTCATGCCAACACTCCCCCTCAAGTTGGTGCAAAGATATCGCCAATGCCCAACTTGTCGAGTGAGTTGTAGAACATTTTACTTGACACGCCTTTAGTTAGCATGTCTGCCAGTTGATCTTCTAATTTGACAAACGGAAACTGAACTATCCCAGCCTCGAGCTTTTCCTTGATGAAATATCGATCCACTTCAACATGCTTTGTACGATCATGTTGGACCGAATTGTGAGTAATGCTAATGACTGCTTTGTTATCACAAAATAACTCCATTACTGAAGTAGGTGGGAAATCAAATTCTGTAAGTAACTTCCTTAACCAAAGCAAGAGTGCATGTGGCATGAGTTGTAAAGAACCCATGTCAACACTCACTCTTATTTTACAACTCATGCCAACAAGAGAGATACAGATTGATAGGCAGATTGAAGGGGATGAGATCCAACGATCTCGCTCTTGACGCTGTGAAGTCCAAAACGAAGAGTGTCATTTTGTAGACCTCCGATTTCGTGCTCAATTGCTTTCTTTCTCCTCGCAGCTTCCATTGCTTTGCTGTCGTGGGAAAGTGCTTATAGACCAAAAATGCTTAGATGCTCCAAAAATTCTCTTAAAAGTTTTATCAAATGTCTCATATGTGGGTTTTATATTTATGTGGGTCTCACACTCATGTGAGATATTTGGCAAAATTTTTAGTAAAATATTTGGAGTCTCTAGCATTACTCCTTATAGACCGCCTATAACTTATGATTATGAATATATGTTGATTTTTGACTTATAAATTAATTATTTCTTATCTCACTCAAAGAATAAACTGATTTTTGATTTACAAAAAGTTATAAATTGTATTGTTAAACTAAACTAAACACATCAAAATTGCTTAAATTATACTGAAAGCTAAAATAAGCACCTTTTAAGCTGTACCAAACAGGCACTTTATCTCTCTTCTCTCTTAGGGCTCGCTTCCGTTCGAGAGAGAAAGAGAGAGAGAGACAGTATTGTTTCGAAACTTAGGGCTCTACAAACCTGAAAAGAAATGAAAAAAAAAAAAGAAGAAGGGAAAGACAGGGGGAAAAAATGGGGAAATTAAATTTGGGCGGACGGGTCGAGTGAGTCAGTGAAAAAAAAAGGGGAAATTTGTTTCATTTTTATTTTAATGATTTTTTTTTTATTTGGTAGAAGTAGGTGTAATATTTTAATGAAAAAAAATTTTCGTTAAAATAAAGTTAATTTTTTATAATCAATGAAAAATATTTTTTTGTGGCCCATTTTTTTTTTGTTACTAAAAATTAATAGCTAATTTTTTCTGGTAGAGGAGAGGGAGCGGTAGTAGTGGTGAAGGTAGTAGATAAGAGGTGATGGTGGTGATGGTGGTGATGGCGAAGGAGATTAGTGGTGAAGTTGTGGTAGTAGTAGAGGAGATGGAGTGGCGGTGGTGGAGGAGAGGTAGTAGTAGTAGTAGTAGTAGTAGTAGTAGTAGTAGTAATGGTAGCAATGGTGGTAATGGTAGTGGATTGGTAGCGATTGTCATGACCCGAACCCGCCCCTATATGTTAGGATCATAACCGGCCAGTAATTGTTAGATTACCTACAGTCTCAGACAGTAAACAGATTTTTAAATAATCATATGGGGCCAAAAGCGGAAGCAGACTTAAAAATTTTGTCCAATGAACTGTGCTTACATGATAAAGCGAAACATTTCATAAATAGTCCATAATAACTCACGCATAAAAACAGAGTTAATATCTTATACATCTAGGAACTTCAAGATATGCATTCAGCCAAACAAAACAAGCTTATATGCATGAATGGTCCAACGTATTCACCGATATAGCAAAAGTGTAAACACATGAACAAAAATAAAGTCTCGTGCGTGAGACGTGCAGGCTGACTCCTCAAAACTTGACTTCCTCTCATATCTTTCACTGAGGTTGGGTTTGGACATCCCTTTGCTCACCTACACACATACAAATGAGAGTGAGCGATAGCCCAGTGAATAATATCAAAATAAAGAAGTTACATGAATTAAATTGGTAACAGACATATCTAACGGCCTTAAGCCCATTCACGTTTTTATCTAATATATCAAACGGCCTTAAGCCCAAACATATCAAACAGCCTTAGGCCCAATTCGTTTGTGTCAAACGGCTTTTGGTTCAATCATTCATATCATACGGCCTTCAGCCCAATCATTCATATCTCCTAGAAAAGATCGATTGAGACTCCCTCCACGGTCCCACGAAGATCTCTACGTACTTCTCCAGTCCAGGACAAGTGGGATCTTCCGGTCTGCGTGCGTGGGAGCAGCTCAAACAAAGAAGAGTCTGGTCCGGTCTGAATTCAGGTACGGCCCGCCCGTCTGCTGCTAGGTCCGGAAATGGCGCCAGGCGAGGGCGCCGCTATGCCCCGCTGCTCTGCTGCGGCCGGCCCCCGGACTATGCAAAAGAATCGAGGCCGGGGGGGGCCTTTGGCCCAATCCTTCATGTCAGGCTATCATTCATGTCAAACGGCCTCTGGCCCAATCATTCATGTCAGACGGCCTTTGGTCCAATCATCCATATCAGACGCCCTTTGGCCTAATCGTTCATGTCAAACTATCATTCATGTCAGACGGCCTTTGGCCCAATCATTCATGTCAGACGCCCTTTGGCCCAATCATTCATATCAGACGGCCTTTGGCCCAATCGTTCATGTCAAACTATCATTCATGTCAGACGGCCTTTGGCCCAATCATTCATGTCAAAACGGCCTTTGGCCCAATCATTCATGTCAGACGGCCTTTGGCCCAATCATTCATATCAGACAGCCTTTGACCCAATCATTCATGTCAAACGGCCTTTGGCCCAATCATCTATATCAGACGGCCTTTGGCCCAATCATTTATGTCAGACGGCCTTTGGCCCAATCATTCATATCAGACGGCCTTTATGTGTGTTTCATACTCATGATCATGATTGTATTTGTATTCACTTAGCCTTAAGCAAAAGATTGACATTTAGAATACTCATTCTTAATTCAAACATACAAATCCATAAGGCATGTACAGAAGTAACATTTGGGAAAACAACACACTTGAACATATCTTTACTAAGATATTACTCATAGTGTTCTGCCAGTGGATTCGTCCTTATGCTCGGCCCTACACAATTCATAACACATATTGGGTCACAAACAATTCAATCTGTTCTTTAATCTATTTATTTCTCTTAGGCTTCTTTATTTACCCCTTAGGTCATTTACAAAGCTCAATGTATTCCTAAGAGTGCTTAGAAATGAAAGAGAACGGAAAACAAAACACAAAACCATTTTTCATAATTTCAAGAACAGGGCTCTCTGCTCGAGCGCGGATTTGGCCGCTCGAGCGGACCCCTTTTGTCTGCAAAAGTACTGGTTACTATATTTCTACGCTCGAGCGGACATCAATGCCTGCAAAAGTTCTGGAAGCCAACATTTCACGCTTGAGCGGCGATTTCCCCGCTCTAGTGGACATGTCGAATTCTGAAATTTTTAGAATTGCATTTGAAGCTCAAATTGAGCATTCAAAGGGTCTAAAACTCATGTTCTTGACACAAAATCATGGAAATCTTTATATAATATGAGGCCACAAGAAAATTGAGTCTAATTTATCCAAAATCACAATTCAATTCCCAAATTTTTTTCACATTTTTCTTGACAACCCATACCAACTTCATATCTTCAAAACTCATGTAGATTAATTTCCATATCATTTTGAAATATACATGCATGTGAAATATAGGCTTCACTTTCAACTTAAATAGTACAATTGATGCTCATCTTCATCGAACATGATCAATTTTTAAATCAATTACATCAAAACTCCTTTAATTTACGAATTAAGTTCTTTGTTCATAAACTCATAATTTTCCAAAGCTTAATTATTTTTACATCAAAACATGCAATCAATTATTTTGAATCCATGATGCATGAAAATTTATACCTTATATATATATCAAGGTTTCCAAGCCCAAGCTCAATTGAAGAATTCTAATTATTTCCATATTGATTAACCCTAACCATGTTCATGAATTAATTCTTTAATTTCTCCAAATTACATGCATGTAAAATTTAGACTCAAATTCATATCAGATATGCAAAATCAAACCCAAAATAATTAATTTCTAGGTTAATTTTCATAAATTTGAACCTAACTCCATCGTATGGACCAAATCTTCAAATTAATCTTGATGCATGTAATCTATGGGACTCAATTCAAGAATAATTCTCAAAATTTAATTCAAACATAACAAATTTAAAGAATCATAACTCATATTTTTCAACCTAACTTGATTGAACATGCAAGATTATAAAAATCAATCTCAAAATAATTACTTTCTAAATTAATTTTCATAATCATGAATATAATTTAATTTTGTCATCTTTTTGCTAATTTCCTTTTAATTACATGAAATTGAACCCATTTACCTCTAAATTTCAACATGTAGGTAAATTATCTACAATATTTAAGTCTCAGTTTCTTACCTTAAGTCTTCAAATTGATGAATTTCTTGGTCAATTATTCAACACTTCTTCAACCCCTCACTCTCCTTTGTTTTTCTCCTTGGTCTTTCAGCAACTCTCTCTATCTCTCTACACTCTTTAGTTCATTCTCTTCCCCTTTTGAAATGCTCTCTGCCGAGCACCAAACAACCATCACCTCTAACATACACACAAGCACACCTATTCACACATGCACTCCTCATCTTGTTGCCAACGCATACCACACGTGTACACTTAATCAAGGCTCCAACACAACACTCACATGCACACGCATACACAGATTTTCTTTGCACACCTAGAATTTCTTTGCACGCACACCCATATACACCCTCAAATTACTTTAGATCATCCAATTTTTTATTAAAATTAACTTAATTAAGTAACACACAGTCTTAATAATTCTTGATTAGTACATAATTAAATTAATCATAACTAATCACAAATCTCACATAATTTAATTAGTCTAAATTGACTTCCTTTAGAGCCCAATTAATTATAAATAAAATTATCAATCTGAATCAGATTTTTAATCAAACTCCAAATTTTCATCAATAAATTACATATTCAAATTGGACATCCCACAAACAAATTTTATTTGTAATAATCACAATTCTCAATCCTCATAATTTAATTAACTTAATTAACTCCAATTCGGACCTAATTAATCGAATCTCAATTAAATTGAATCAAATATTTAATTAACTCCCAAATGGGTCCGTAATTAAAATTAAATTGATTCAACTTCTTAATTTCGCTTCCTTAAGTCATTTGGACCCTTAAAATAAATCTTCAATAGAATCATATACGAATCAAATTCCACAATTCTCACAAATCCCAAATTAAATTAGGATAACAACTAATTAAAATCTCAAATCTCCTTAATTAACCAAAATAAAATATTATACGTAACGGGGTCTTCACAGCGATGGTGGTAGTAATGGTAGTCGTAGAGGTGGAGTGACAACAGTGAAAATAATGGTGGTAGTGGAATGACATTTGCAGTAGTGGTGAAAGTGGTAGAGGAGATGGGTAGTGAGAGAGAGATGAGTGAGAGACAGATAGAGAAGAGAGATATAGAGAGAGAGACAACGTGGTCGTTAAAAGTGCATTTTCTTGTAGTGGAGAGCTCGGTAAATAGAGAAGAGGAGAGGGAGAGAGTGAGACACGTGAACACAATGGGAGAGAGAGACAGATAGACAGACAGACACAGAGAGAGAAAAAGAGAGAGAGAGAAGAGTGAGAGACAGACAGACAGATACATAGAGAGAAAGAGAGAGAGAAGAGTGATGAGTGAAAGAGAAAGAGATATAGAGAGAGAGAGAGACGGAGAGAGAAAGAGATAGACAGAAAAAGAGAAAGAAACAAGAGATAAGCGAGAGATAAACAAAGAGAGAGAGAGAGAGAAAGAGAGCTAAAAGAGATGATCGAGAGAAAGACATAGAAAAAGAGAGAAACAGAGAGAGAAGAAAGATGAGCGAGAGAGACAAAGAGAGAGATAGAGAGAAGAGAGAAGAGAGATGAGCGAAAGACAAAGAGAGAAAGAGAGACACAGACAAAGACAGACAGACAGAGAAGAGTGTTGAGTGAGAGAGAGAAAGAGAAAAGAGAGAAAGACAAAAAGAGAAAGAGATAGAGAGTAAGAGACAGGAAAAGAGATAGGGAGATGAACGAGAGAGATAGAGAGATATAGAGAGAAGAGAGATGAGCGAGAGAGATAGAGAGACAAGAGAAATGAGAGAGATAGAGAGATAAAGAGATGAGCGAGAGAGATAGAGAGAAGAGAGATGAACGAAGAGACAGAGAGAGAAAAAAGATGAGAGAAGAGATAGATGAGTGAGAAACACACACAGAGAGAGAGACAGATAGACAGACACACAGAGAAAGAAGAGTGATGAGTGAGAGAGAGAAAGAGAAGAGAGAGAGGAAGATGAAAAAATGGGTGAAAAGAGATAGACAAAGAGAGAAAGAGAAAAAGAGCGAAAAGAGATGAGCGAGAGAGAGATAGAGAGAGATGAGCGAGAGAGCAAGAGAGATACAGAGAAGATAGAGAGAAGAGAGATGGGCGAGAGACATGGAGAGAAAGAGAGACAGACAGACAGACAGAGAAAAGTGATGAGTGAGAGAGAGAAAGAGAAGAGACACAGAGACACAGAGAGAAAGAGAGAAACAGAGAGACAGAAAAAGAGTGATGAGTGAGAAAAAGAAAGAGAAGAGAGACAAATACAGAGACACATAGAAAAAGAGAGAGACAGACAGACAGAGAAGAGTGATGAGTGAGAGAGAGAAAGAGAAGAGAGACAGAGACAGAGAGATAGGAAGATGAAAAAATTAGTAAAAAGAGAAATGTTCAAAAGAGTAAGACGATATTATTTTTTTTTTTTGTGTGACAAAAAAATACCGTTACATTTATATAAATCATTTTGTGACTATATATATATGAAGCCGTCTCAAAGCCACAATATATATACACACACACACACACACAAATATATATATATATATATATATATTTTTGCAACGGTACCTATTACCGTCTCAAAAAACTATTCTTTTTTTTTGCGACTGTAGCTGGTACCGTCGCAAAAACTCTATTTTTTTTGCAACAGCAATCTCTGCCATCGCAAATACTCTATTTTTTTTTTTTGCAACAGCATTTTCTGCCGTCGCAAATACTCTATTTTTAGTGACAGCAAGTTGTGCCGTCGCAAAAAATCACATTTTTCGCAACGGCAAGTTGTATTGTTTCAAAAAGTCACATTTTTTGGCGACAACAAGTTATGCCATATCAAAAAATCACATTTTTTGCGACGGCAAGTTGTACCGTCGCAAATGTGCCGTTGCAAAAAGTTTCATCTTTTAAGCCCACTTTTCTTGTAGTGTAGAATCATTCAGAATTTATTAATAATCCAAATTAACATTCTAAATAAAAATGTGACAGATTTTCAATTAATTTTATATTAAATTATCAACTATTCATAATAAGTTGTTGCCTAATACTCATAAATTTTTACTCCCACATCATTTTGAGTAGTTAGCAATTTAGGAATGGTTTCGGAACTGGCCATTTTAATTTTTTTTTTTTTTGAAAAAATATACACAAAAAATGAAATAAAAAGAATAATGTGATCATTTATAATGACTATTTAACTTGTAATCTAAATAGTATGTTCCCCTAACTAGGCCTAAGTTGAGATTTTAAATGGACTCCAAGTCAATAAGGTCATATTTGTTAAACTCCACAAGAATTGAGATTGGTTTAACAATTCAATGAACTCCATAGGATTGGTGGTGAATATATCATTTTACCAAATTTTATAAAAATAAAAAAATCATTTTTTATGTAAGGAAGGTTTTTTTTTTAATGTAATTTTGTAAATTTAATCACAATACTAATATACGAACAATGCAATTTACCTTATATTTTTTAATCTAATACCACTACACTAGTAATTTCATCACTTAATACCACTATAGTATGCATAATCTTATACTCTCTCCATCTTAATTTGTTAGTCCATTTTAGAGATTTTAACTTTTTAAGAGAGTATAAATTATTACATTTAAATTTAAATTTTAAAATATTTTTTTGCTAATGTCTTTATCTTTTAAAATTTTTAATATATTTATAATTACTCAAACGGGTTAGCTTTAAAAAATTAAATATTTTTTCTTTAACTTTTTAAATGAAATTATCATTTTAAGACATCTTAAAATAAAATAATAAACCAACCAAATAGAACAGGAAGAGTGAACTTAGGCTTATTTTGGGAAGATGGTAAAAAGTGACTTTTTTACTTTTAACTAAGCTTTTGGCTTTTTTAGACAAATGATTTGGAAAGTTGGTAAAAAGTGACTTTTGATTTTTTTAATTAATGTTTGTTTATGATGTCAAATCATAATAAAATAACCAAACTACCCCCATTTATTTAAAATATTTACGACTTCACCTATGTAACACATTTTGACCCATGAGGGTAAAATTGTAATTTCACCGTTGTCTAAAAGCCAACTTCCCAAATGAAAAAAAAAAAATGACAAAAAAGTCAACTTTTAACTTTTATTATAAACAAAAAAAAGTGACTTTTAACTAACTTCTCAAAATACCTCTTAATCCAACAATCAGACATGGCCTTAAAAGGGCCACGTGAGCTTTGACAAGCACTAGTTCCTATGAGATAGACAATTGGAATTCTCAATATAAATTAAAATTAAACTTATAGAGAGATAAACTATGAAGGGGGAATTTATTCGTGGATATCCCGTCCCAAATGATACTACTATCATAATGAAGATGTGATTACCAATTTCCAAACAAAGCATCTCTCTCGCTCTCTCATCCCGTGTTCCATGTATTGTGTCTCAAATAAATTAGTATATCATTCGTATTATGTATAGAATAAAATAATATATTATTTAATAAAAATATAATAATTATATTTAACTTTTTTATATTATATAAAATAAAAGTTAAATAAAAGTTAGTCAATTGAGATTTTCTTAATAGTTTAAAATTAAAAAAATAAAAAAATTAGTATGAGATATTGATTATAAGGCTTCTCATTAAAAGTCTCATTTTGCTTATATAAATAGGAGTATAAGATTCACTTTATGTAAGTGAAACAATTCACTTTTTTCATCTTTTCTCAATGTGAGATTATAAAATAAAAGTTAAATGAAAGCTAGACAATAGAGATTTTCTTAATTGTTTAAAAGTTAACAATTGTTCGAGTGGGAAGTTTATTTCGAATCAAGCAATCTTAGCGGTTTAATATTTAATTAGGTCAATATTTAATTTATTTCAAATCAAACAAATTTAATTAATATATTTTGATAAAACTGCTAAAATCGTAGTTAAACCAGTGAATTAGTCAAACCGAAAACGGTTCACCCTATTGGCTAGGTCAAAGGACCAACTAACTTATTCAAAAATTAATTAATTAAAACTTTTAAATTTTATTTTAATTTTGAAATTTAAACTGTCTTGAACTAAGACATACACAACACTACAATATTAAATGGGAGTAAGATTTATATAATGAAACAATTCATTTTCTTGATGTGAGATAGTAAAATATAAGTTAACAGTTGTTTGGATGAGAAGTTCATTTCTGATCAAATAATCTCAGTCGTTCAATTTTTAAAAAGGTCAATCTTGGTTCATTTCAAATCAAACAAATTTAATCAATATATTTTGATAAAACAGTTAAGATTGTGGTTAAACCGGTGAATCAGTCAAACCAAAAACGATTCAGCTTAATCAGCTATAGCGATCCCGGTTTTGCCCCGACCTTCTTTGTGTCCCGGACTTGGGTTCCGTGGTTGAATATCGTATCCTTGTCTTGTTATTCTCTTTTGACTCTTTGTATTTGAGTTTTGAATTATGTTGGGCGTGTTTGGAACAAGTTAGTTGTCAATTGGTCTAGAATCTTGTTGCCCAGATTTTGGCTTCTTCGCTCGAGCGAGACTTTTTGCGCTCGAGCAAGGCTTCTTGCGCTCGAGCGAGGCTTGTGTAATTTGCTTCTTCGCTCAAGCGAGGACTAAGGGTCTTCTGGTTTCTTTCCCAGATGCAGTTTTTCTGGGAAGATGTAAGTTCTTCGCTCGAGCGAGGCTTCTTGCACTCGAGCGAGCTTTGTGGAATTGCTTCTTCGCTCGAGTGAGACTTCTTATGCTCGAACGTGCGTCTGCGTTGATGGTAGACCTGAAGCTTTGCATTTTACGCTCAAGCGACGCTTCTTGCGCTCGAGTGAGGTTACTTGTTGTGTCTGGTCACTCGAGCGACAACTCCTTCGCTCGAGTGAAGGTCGCGTATATTAATTCGCAGTAGAGATATTTTACACCACTTTTGATCTTTTTCTTCCCTAAAAACCCTAATCCGGCACCTTCTCTCTCTAAAACTCTCTCTCTCTCTCTCTCTCTCTCTCTACAAATACTCCATGGTTTAGGGTCTTTCTACCCTACTTCCTTTGTTAAAAGATAGAGTTTTGCGTGGGCTTCCTTTTGATCCAAAAATGGTGGAGTTTGGTCATCTTCAAAGTTTCTTCCTTCTTCTCCTTTGAGCTTCTACACTTGAGGTAGGGATATTCTACTCTTTGATATGGGTTTTGACCTAGATATTTGTCATTTGTATAAATGGAGGGATTTGGGAGTGATTTGGGTAAAGGTTAAGGTTTGGGCTCTAAACTAAAGAGGGGTTTTCATGTTGATTTACCAAGCAACCTTGGGGGTTTGTGTATGAGGTTCTTTATTGTTGAAATGGTGAGATTTGGACCTATGGGTTGATGTTTTGGAATAGGGGAAAAATTGCCCTAAGTTGAGTTGAAATAAATATTTATGTAAATAATGAAATTGGTTTGGGAATTATGAAATTAGGGAAATATGTGATTGAATGGTGTAGTTTGGTTTGATAAATCACACACCTATGAAAAAGCTGATAATTTAACTGTTAATAGATTTGTTTATCTATTTAGACAATATCTATTTTGGGCTATTGATGGAGGATAGCTATGATTGTTGTAAAAACTGCATGAGGACTAAGTAAATTTGAACTAGTGATGTGAATATTGTCATTGAATATGACGGATTGATTAAGTTGTTGAATATGTGAATTTTGATAGTCATTGTATATGACATGCTTTTAAATACATTGTATATGTATCGTTGTTTGGGAGGAAATATGGGATGTACTCCATTGTTTGGGAGGAGATAGGGGATAGACTCCATTGATAATTAAGTCGGCCGGAATGTCCAGGGTGAAAGTCCCAAAATTATGCATATATGGGTGCCGATTCCCTTGGATGTGATTCCGTAAAATGGCAAGAAAATGGAAGTGTTGAATAATGTTTGTTATTGAAGTGTTGATAAATGAGTTATAGTCTCGTTTTGAATTGTTTAGATAACAATGAACTATGTCAATGAATTGATTTGGATAAATGAATAGAAATGGACCGAAATACGAATGTCGATATTGATTGGTCATGAAAATGGTGTAAGTTAGTTCACTAGTATTGAACATTTATCTGATGCTGATAGCTTAGTTAATTCTCATATATTGTTTAACATATCTCTACTGGGCTTTGGCTCACCCTACTTGGGAAATCATTTTCAGGTACAGGTGATATGCCATCTCCAAGGACATAGCTTGGGAGGCTTAGGGGCTGAAGGCTCCACTTTTGTGATTTCTTTTGTGTTGAATGTTTATTCAAGCCGAGGGCTTTACTTGTATAGAAACTAGACTCTTCTTTTGTTGTAACCAAGCGAAGTCTTGGAAAGATATAAGCCATTAGGGCACTTATTTTGTTGTTCTCAATTAGAGTTACATGCTATAGTTTCAAGATGAACATCGATGAAAGTGTAATGCATGTAATATCTTTTGTAATATTAACTCTAATGAATGAAAATATAACATTTCTATGATGCTATAGATCTTGTGAATGAATGATTATATTATATTTTGAGGGCGTTACAACTTGGTATCAGAGCATACCGGGTTTGAATACTTTGAGTAGGTGGGAAGTGGTTAGTACCACAATGGGTTTGTCTCGCTTGTTAGAGACTTAAGTAGAGACTTAAGTATGATGTTATGTGCTTATATGATAACATATTTATGTGACTATATGGGTATGAGATTTAATTTCTGGGATGTTGATCGGGTCCATAGGTTTCTGGGAGTCTTGTTAGAAAAGCACTTGATCACTATCGTTTCTAACTAGAACTCTAGCGACGCCACGGGACGGTCATTATCCGGAAATGAAATTCGTATGTGTTTATGTGATTATGTGCTTATGTGGAGTGAATTACAGTCGTCCATCGTATTAGGACGCGAGTGAGACAGCTTCAGCACATTTGTAAATGTGCTAATCTCTTTGTTACCTTCATTAGGATGTCAGGACGAGGTCGTGGCAGTAGGCGTGGTAGGCCTAAAAGACATGAGATGCCTCTATCGGATGAGATTCCGGCGCAGGAGAAAGGAGTGGTTCAGACCAATGTGGCCGAGCCAGTAGGTCAGCAAGCCATGGGTGCCTTAGCCTGTGAAATGACTAGAGTATTGAGGGAATCTATGGACATTCTCAGGGCTTAGAACCAAGCCCAGGCCCATGTAGCTGAAGTAGGGCCTTCTTTTCTGAAGAGGGAATTCTTTCGGTCGAATTCGGACCGGGTTTTTGGGTGACCCTAAAGAGCCACTGAAGGCTAATGAATGGTTGGAACAGATGACGAAGACGTTTGAGATGCTTGGCATCGAAGACGGAGGTTTGAGGGTGACCTTGGTGTCCTTCCAGCTGAAGGGAGACGTGGGTCAGTGGTGGAAATATGCGCGAGGGCGCATTGGTGGGACTTGGGAGGCCTTTGTTGAAGCTTTCCAGGACAAGTACTTGCCTACTACAGTGAAGGAGAAGTTAAGGGATCAGTTTTCTCAGCTCAAACAGTTGAACACACCAGTGGCTGAGGTTAAGGCCACATTTACTAGCTTTTCTAGGTTTACACCAGAGTTAGTGACGACTGAGGAACGCCGTTGTCTGGAGTTTGAGAAGAAACTGAGGACTAGACTCATGTTCAAAGTTGCTGGGGCCATGATTAGGGATTATATGCGCCTTTTGGAGGCTGCAGCCCATCTTGAGACTATTATGCATGCAGAGGAAGAGAGGATGAGGGGCTCTAGAAAGAGTCAGGATAATCAAGGAGGCGGTAAGAGGCAGAGGGGTTCTAACCCTCAATAGTCCCAGGGAGCGCAATCGAGATCTACCTTTCCAATGCCGAGTTCGGGTTCTGAGAGAGGTGGTCAGGGAGACGTTACTTGTTTCAAATGTGGTCAGTTGGGTCACAAGTCTCCAGCTTGCCCACAGAGGGAGGAGAACAGCGAGCAGCTTCATCTTCGGCTCATTCTCAGGGCCAGAGTTAGGGCAGAGGCCAGTCGCTCACTTGTTATCAGTGTGGGCAAGCGGGGCACTTGAAGAGGTTTTACCCGCAGTTGGGTGGCATACCTGGTGCGTCTGGTTCGAGGCAGACACAGAATCACTAGCTAGCGCAGTCAGCACAGGCCTCGAGGGCCAATCAGGGAACCTCTTCGGCTCAGTCAGTGCAGCAGTCTTATACTTCGAGAGGTGAGCAGGTTGATCAGAGACCTACGGGACGTGTGTGTGCTATTATCGCGCCAGATCTTGTACCGGCTCCATCAGTAGTGAGAGGTACCTTTTTGTTTTGGAACTCAGTTGCTAATGTATTGATTGATACGAGTGCATCCCATTCATTTATTTTGTCTGCATTTGCATTTGTTTTGGGGTTGGAGTTGGCACAGTTAGCATCTCCTATTTGTGTTGTATCACCTATTGGGGAAGAGATGGTTTTGAAACAGGGGTGTTGGGGCTGTGATATAGAGGTCGTCGATCGTCGGCTCCCCTTTTCTTTTGTGTTGATGGATATGTTTGGTTTTGATGTTATTTTTGATATGGACTGGTTATCGTCATACCAGGCTGTTATAAATTGTTACCGTCAGAAGGTTACTGTATGTACCTTGAGCGGTAATTGTTTTTATTTCTTGGGAGACCAGGTGGATAGAGTCTTATCGCCGGTATATGATTCAAGTAGGCGGAATGAACTTAGTTGTCTTCTTGCTAGCTTTACGAGTAGTGAGTGTGATGAGGCCCAGATTGAATTGCCAAGAGTGGTTTGTGAGTACTCGAACGTCTTTCCCGAGGATCTTATTAGTTTACCACCCCACCGAGAGATTGAGTTCTCTATTTGTAACAACCCTCATACTGTTTACTGATTAGGGACTGATTGATTACTGATAATCACCGATTACTGCTAAACGGAACTGATAATGACTGATAACTGACTGATAATTGAACTGATTAAAGTACTGAACTGACTGACTGAAATTGGAAACCGAATTGATTGAGTATATGTTAGTTAAATTGCATTTTATCTGTTGACTGGTATGATTATCTGTTCATGCTTATATGTTTAAACTGCTAATTGAAGGCCATATCGGCGGCCGAATCAGAAATTGATTGATGTTTTATGATCCACATAATTAATGTAATTTGGTGCTAGAAAGTGGAGAAAGAGTCTGCTGGCAGTTGGACTAAACCAAAGTCGAGCTGACCCTTGGGTGTCACGGGAAAGCCCGGCACATGATTTCTCAGGGAAGCTAGAGGATCATGGGTCCTGTAGGCTCCAAGTGTCCTGGTCCGTACTCAAAAGATGTCCGATGTGGCGATTGAACTTGGGGGTAGAGTTTATATCAGATAGAGCAAGAAATGGCAGTGGCTATGGTAAGGTTTTGCCGATGTTCTGGCATACGCCCTGGAGTTGAACTTCATGGGCCTCGGGTTCGCAGTCTAGAGATGAGAATGTTGTTACCCACCGGAGGGCCGCGGGGCTTGGCGCTACTGGCCTCGTCTTTTCAGGGGTTGGTTGCCAGATCGAGGATGTAGGTCGGAGTGGCGATTTTATATGGGGAGGTTGTAAAGCTTTCCAAGTTGGGTGGATTCAGCTACAGGATAGTTATGTCGGGGCTCTTCTAGGTTGGCGGAAATCTGGAAGTGGTGATGTAGATACTAAGATTTCTTTGGGAGTAGAGCATTTATCAAGGGCTTGGTCTTTGCTCGGCCTTGCGGTTAATGCTGTTGGTAAGCTCGATGAAATACTGTGGTGGTTGTTTGGAATTGGGGGGTGCGGCTTGGTGGTCGGTAGCGTTAATGGTGAGAAGCCATGATCTAGTCGTGACCATACACTTTGATTGGTAGCAAAAAGGTTGTTGGGACAGGATTTCCAGCGAACAATGAACACAACTGGACGCAAGCAAAGCATTTCCCACAGACGGCGCAACTGATGTGCAGCTCGTTCCAGGTGGAAGTGGTCAGACTGAGTCCACGCTCTCATGCCTAATAGCCGAATGACCAAGCCACGGGGGAACTGCACAAAAGTCCAATG